CCGCAGCTGCCCAGCACCGCAGCTCCGCTCCCGCACGGCGCAGGGGCCCCCCGGCCATCGGGGCTGGGTGGGGGGCACGTGGGGCGCGTGTCCAGGAGCTCAGCCCGGGGACATCCAGCCACCGCAGCAGCAGGGCCGGGATGCCGGCGGCGGCGGCAGCCGGCGGCCAAACAAGCGAGGGCTGTGTGCCGGGCTGGCCCGGCGCCGCTGTTTCCATCTGTGCTCTCGTAAACCCGCAGTGGCCGGCAGGGAACGGCGGCAGCGCGGCCAGCGCCGGGGGCCAGCCCCACGCCGGGTGGCCCAGGGGACCACGGGGGGCACAGGGAGCCCGAGTGGGTGCCCCCCGACCCCGCTCACAGCCCGCGAGCCCGCGGCGGGCAACCCACGCTCACCGCGGGACGCGCTCCCGGCCGTGCCAGCCGCGGGAGCTGCCGGCGCTGGCAGGCGCGGAGGAATGCAAACACATGTCAGCGCCGGAGGGATCCCGGCTGCTGGAGCTGGGCTCCGGGTGTCCCGCCGGCAGCAGGGAGTGCTCCCGGGTCTGGGGACGTGTCCTGACGAGCAGCCCCGGCCGCGCTTGGCACTGGTTTCACGTCCCCAGCTGTGCTGCTCTCGGGGCAGCCGGGCTGGCAGCAGCGTGGAGGGCGGGGGACGAGCCCCACAGAATCTGCCCAGAGGGATTCCACATTGGAACGATGTGGGTTCAGCCCCACAGCTGCAGGAGAAGGGACAGGGGATGCAGCTGAGACACCACAGATGCTTTTAGGTTCCCCCTGTGCCCAGTCCCCAGTGAGACCTGGGCCTGGGGCCAAGGGCAGAGCTGGGGGCAGGACATGCTGGTGCCCGCTGCAGCACTCCATCCTGGGCAACTGGGGAAACTGGGAAGGACCCTGAGCGTGCCGAGAGGACAAGAGGGAGGTTTATTGGCGTGGCAGGGACACTCCCGCAGTGAGGGCCGTGGTTCCTGGCGGGACAACGAGCGGAGCACCCACGGGGAATGATGCTGCCAGGCTCCCGGTGTAAAAAGAGTCAGTTCCAGGGGGCTGGGGGGGTGAGACAGTCACACAGCTCATCCTCACTCCTCCTCCTCCTCCTCTTCCTCCTCCCCCATGGCGATGGGCTGCCGGCCGGCCGGCCCCACGCCGCCGCGCTGGATGGACACGATGCCGCTCAGGAAGGCGTAGCCCAGCATGGCCACCAGCCCCACCAGCACCGACAGCAGCTGGTTGCGCCGTTTGTGGGGGTCCTCCTCTCCCTCGCTGCTGTCCGTGCCCGCAGCCCGTGGGGCACCGGCCGAGGGATCAGCTGGGGGAACAGAGCAGGGATGAGAGGGGGGAAAGGTCACCCCGAGCCCGCAGGGTGAGGTGGGGGACGGCCCTCACCTCCATCCCAGGGGAAGTAGAGGCTGAGGATGGAGGTGCAGTAGTTGCACAGGTTCTGCAGGGACTTCAGGTGCTGCTGCAGTTTCCCGTTGGGCAGCTTCGCCTTCAGGAGCGGCGCCAGGCGGCTGAAGACGAAGGCGTCGAGGGAGGCCGGCCTGGGGCACAGAGAGCCAGGGCTGGGCCACTGTCCCCACCCAGAGCCACTCGGACACACTGGCCACCTCCCAGCGCCCTGGGGGATGGCACACAGCTTCCTCTCCCTGGAAGGGCACTGCCTCCAGCCCAAGGTGAGGATGGGGAGCAGGATGATCCCATCCCAGACCACTCCCACAGCCTGAATTCCTCACTCCCTGCTGCCTGGAACAGCCCTGTCCCACCCACAAAGCAACGCACAGGGGCTGTGACTCCCCTGCAGACCAGGGGAGGCTCAGCCCCGCCAGGGTGTGGGCAGGCCCCTTCCCCTGCTCCTTCTTCGGCCACTCACGAGTCTCCGAAGAAAAACTTCTGGGAGCCGAGGCGCTGGGAGAGGAGTGTCAGGCATTCCCGGGCTTCCCGGTAGAGCTGCAGGAGGAGGAGGAGGAGGAGGACAGAGGGCTGTCACCCACCCAGGCACTGCCACGGTGCTCAAGGGAGCCGGAGGGCAGAATCCCAGACCATAATTTGGATTTTGGCTTCACATGAATCCCCTGGGCACCACCCAGGACCTGCTGTGCCCAGACCTCATATCCCTCACCTGCTTCTCCAGCTTCTCCTCATCCTCCATGTAGTCGTCCCCCCACAGGAGCTGCAGCCGCTCCAGGTGCCGCTTGTGCATGGAGTTGGGCAGGAAGAAGTTGAGGGGGAAGGGGATGGTCTCCGCGTACCATTTCCGCGTGTGCTCCACGTAGTTCTTCGCATCCACCCAGAACGTGTGGATCTGTGGTGGAGAACAAACCGCGGCCCGGCCACGGCGGGGCTGCAGCCAGGGGGGCTGGCACACCAGAGCCCCTGCCCAGCACAGCCACCCCAGAGATCATGAGGGGCTGCGGGAGCATCGTGGTGCAGGGCAGACCCCAGCCCTGGCTGCACAACCCACCCCCACCCCGATCCCTGCCACGCCGGACCCCCGGGACGTTGCTGCCGGCAGCGCTCTCCGGCTCCGCAGGCGGGTGGGCACACACCTGAGCCCACTGGCACGTCTCCAGGGAGCAGACCCCATCCTTGGCGAGCCCCCCTTCCCCACGGCTCCCCCCTGAGCCTCACCAGCACCGGCAGCAGCTTCTCCTCCAGCAGGGACACGAAGGCCAGCGTGTCTGCGTTCTGCGTGGCCGACAGGTCGTAGTCGGCGTTGTACTTCTGCAGAGAAAACACCACGCGCTGAATCCTGCCAGTGGGAGACACGACAGAGCCCCCTCCTCCTCGAGGGGCTCTGGTGCCCCCCAGCCCGGGGCAGGGGGTGCTCCACACCCCCCTGTACCTGTTTCCTGAGGTGAGTTATGATCTGCTGCGTTTTGGAGATGGTGCCCTCATCCTGCGTCCTCAGCGCGGGCAGGTGCCCTGTGGGCAGGGGGAGTGGGGGCTGCAGGTGCCGTGCCTGGGGGGCACCCTGGGCGGGCAAGGGGTCGGGGGGAAAGCTGGGACAAGGGGAAGGGCCCCCACACCCAGGTGAGGGGTGGGAGGCAGAGGGAGAAGTGCGTGTAAGGGGGGGTGGGAGGTACAGGGGTGCAGGTGAGGGGTGGAAACCGTGTGTGATGGAAAATGAGGATGAGGGGGATGCACTGGGATGTGGGTGTGGGCGACAGGCAGGGGGTGTAATGGGAAAAGGGAGAACAAAGAGGTGCAATGGGACAGGGTGGGCAATGGGGTGCGAGGGTGCAGGGGGGCACAGGAAAAGGGGGGTGTGATGGGGTGAGGGGGTGCAATGGAGTGAAAGGGGTGTCCAAAGGGACAGGGGGTGCAATAGGATAAGGGGGTGCAATGGGGTGTGAGGGTACAATGGGACAGTGGAGGTGTGATGGGACAGGGGTGTGATGGGATGAGGGGGCTGTGCTGGGGTACAGAGGGGTGCAGTGGAGTTGGAGGGTGCAGGGGGACCACAGGAAAAGGGGGTGAGATGAGGGGGGTTTGTGATGGGGTGAGGGGGCATCCAAGGGGACACAGGTCGCAGTGGGATGAGGGTGTGCAATGGGGTTGTGATGGGATGAGAGGGGTGCGATGGGGTACAGGGGAGTGCAGTGATACAGGGGGCGACAGGACAAGGGGGTGCAATGGGGTACAAGGGTGTAATAGGACAAGGGAGGTGCAATGGGACAGGGGGTGTGATGGGGTACAGGGGAGTGCTGTGGTGGTCATAGGAAAAGGGGGTGCAATGAGATGAGAGGGTGTAATGTGGCAGGAGGGTGCAGGGGGGGACACTGGAGATGAGGGATGCAATGGGGTGGGAGGGTGTGATGGGGCAGCGGGTGAAATAGGATGGGAGGGTGATGGGACAGGGGGTGTTATGGGATGGGGGGGTAATGGGGCACAGTGGGGTGCAATGGGGTGGGAGGGTGCAGGGTAGGGGGGGCATAGGACAGGGGGTGTTCGACTCGATGAGGGGGTGCCATGGGGTAAGGGGGGGGCCCAGTGGGGTGGGGGATCCACAGGACATGAGGGATGCGGTGGGATAGGAAGGTGTGATGGGATGAGGAGGGTGTGTGATCTGTGGGAGGCTGCAGCGGTGCGGAGCGGGGGGGGGCAATGGGGCGGGGGGTCCCCGGCCGTGCCGGCACCGGGTGGTCTCGGCGGTTCCGGTGCCGGTATCCCCCGCGGGGCCCTTACCGGAGGGGCTCCTCCAGGGGTGGGTGACCCGGTGCACCTTCAGCGGCGCCCCCGTGAACCGCGCGTAGGTCTGCGGGAGGGAGGGAGGGAGGGAGGGAGCGGCGGCAGCGGGGGCTCAGCCCGCGGGACCCCCGGCCCGGCCCGGCCCCGGCCCCGCCGCCCCGGCCCCGCCGCTCACCAGCACGGCCAGGCAGTCGGGGTCCACCGAGGGCAGCCCCCAGCCCCCGGCCCAGCAGAACAGCTCCATGGGCGCCGCCATCTTCCGCCGACCCGGAACCGGACGGGCGGCCCCGCACCGCCCCCCCCGCGGGGCGGCACCGGCGGCACCGCACCGGGGGCACCGCACCGCGGGCACCGCACCGGGGGCACCGCACCGGGGGCACCGCACCGGCGGCACCGCACCGGGGGCACCGCACCGCGGGCACCGCACCGGGGGCTCCGCACCGGGGGCTCCGCACCGGGGGCACCGCACCGGGGGCACCGCACCGCGGGCACCGCACCGGGGGCACCGCACCGCGGGCACCGCACCGGGGGCACCGCACCGGGGGCTCCGCACCGGGGGCACCGCACCGGGGGCACCGCACCGCGGGCACCGCACCGGGGGCACCGCACCGGGGGCTCCGCACCGGGGGCACCGCACCGGGGGCTCCGCAGTGCAAGGGCGGCGGTGGCGGCGGCTGCCGGGACCCCCGCACCGCTCAGCTCAGCTCCACCCTGCTCGGCCCGGCACCTCCACGCGCTGCACCGCACAGTCCTGCTCAGCCCCGCACCTCCCTGCACCACTCAGCTCAGCTCCACCCTGCTCAGCCCCGCACCTCCCCGCACCGCTCAGCTCAGCTCCACCCTGCTCGGCCCCGCACCTCCACGCACTGCACTGCACAGTCCCGCTCAGCCCCGCACCTCTCCGCATCGCACAGCCCTGCTCTGGCCCGCACCACACACCACACTGTACAGCTCTTCTCAGCCCCGCACCTCCCCGCGTTGCCCCGCACCGCTCGGCTCGGCTCAGCTCAGCTCCACACTGCTCACCCTGCTCAGCCCCGCAGCTTCCCGCTCCACCCTGCTCAGCCCCGCACCTCTCCGCATCGCACAGCCCTGCTGTGCCCCGCACCGCACAGCCACGCACCTCCCGCACCGCAGAGCCCCGCATCGCTGGACCCCGCTCAGCCTCGCACCCCCCCGCACGTCTCCATGGACCGCAGCCGGGCCGGGAGCCCGCTGGCAGCGGCGGAGGGAAAACGCCCCGCGTGCGGCTCGGGACCACCCCCCTCCATCACTCCCACCCCCGCTCCCCCGTTACGCGGGGCCGCTGGCGCGGGGCCGGACCGGGGGCGCGGGGCTGGGGCGGCCCCGGGGCCGGGCCCGGCCCGTTGTTATGGCACTGGGGGAAACAGCTGTAAACACGTCTTGGCCGGGGCTCCGCGGGAGCGGCTCGGCGGCCCGAGCATCCCCCGGCGGTACGGACCGGCCCCGGAGCTCCGCCGGCCCGGGGGGCTCGGCGGCGTGGGACAACCCCGGACAAGCGACCCCACGGCCGGTCCCGCTCTCCCGGACCGGGATGCTCCGGCGCTGCTGGGGCGGCCCCAGCCCGCCTGACCTCCCGGTGAACTGGCGCTGCGAGCGGGGGCTGCCCCGGGGGCGGGCAGTGCCCGGTGGGGGGACTCCCCGCAGCCCCGGGCCCGGTGCGCCGCGACGGCCCGCTGCCCCCCCGTCGCCTCCGGGGCCTCCGCCGGTGGCCCGCCGGTGGCCCCGAGATGCGCCCGGTGATTGACGGCTCTTTGTTTCCTCCTCGCCGGCCCCGTCGGCCCCTCCCCCGTGCGCCACCCCGCCCCGCCGCGCTCCGCTCCGCACCGGCGGCACCGGCGGCACCATGGGGGCACCGGGGGGCTCCGCGCTCCTGGCGCTGCTCCTGCTGGGCGCCGCCGCTGCGGCGCGCCCGGGGCTGCAAGGTATAACGGGGGAGCTCGGGGCGGCGGCGGGGCGGCCCCGACGGGGCGGCGGGACGGGCGGCAGTCGGGGGACGGCGGCGGCAGCAGCAGCCCCTGTCCCGGGGCCGCTGACAGCGGCTCCGCTCGCCCCGGGAGAGCCGGGCGGCGGGGACACAGGGACATTCATCCCCGGGGCTCAGGGTGGCCGCCGGTTCCGATGCCGGCTCGGGGCGGCGGGGGGGTCCTTCGGCGAGGGCTAACCGCGGAACCGGAGCTCCTCTCGGTTTGCACGGAGCAGGAGGGCATCCGTTCGGCTGCGGACTGGGCTGTCCGCGCTCCCACCGGATCGCCCCGGGGGCCCGGCCGTCTCTCCGGGGTCTCCCTGTCCGGCCGTCCCTCGTTGCTGCTGGGCGCGGGGGGTTCCGCGGAGCGGGATGCGGGGGAGCCCCGGCTGCAGGGCGGGCTCCGGGCCGTGACTCCGCCGGTCCCGGCGGTGCGGGGGCTCCGCGGGTCGCTCTCGGCGGCGCGGCCGGTCCTGGAGCGCCACCGCGCGGGGGCGGCCCCGGAGACCCCGGGGCTTCCCCGGTCCCCCCGGGGAACGGCGGTCCAGGGTCTCCCCCAACCCCCCCTCGGTGTGACCGCACCGGGAATCCCTGCGGTCACCGGCCGCAGCTGCGGCTGCCGGTGCGGAGGCGACCCCGGTGCTCGGCTCCCGCAGTCATTGACCTGCTGCTGGTGAGCGAGGTGCGGCAGATGGCCAGCGTGGCCCACAAGATCCGCATGGAGCTCCTGACCGTCAACGACGTGTACCTCCTGTCCACCTTCCGCCTGCCCCCCAAGCAGGGGGGGACCCTCTTCGGCCTCTACTCCAAGAAGGACAACACGCGGTGGCTGGAGGTCTCGGTCGTGGGGAAGATCAACAAAGGTGGGTGGGTGCCCCATGTGTGGGGATGGGCTGGTCCTGCTCCTGCCCCAGTGCTCTGAAGGAAACAGGACTGAGTTCCTGCCGTCCAAGGGGCTCACGGGGAGCAGCAGTGGGTGCCTGCTGGTCCCGGGGTGCTGCCGGTGCCAGGGGGGAGCTGATGGCCCCTCCCCGCTCCTCCGCAGTCCTGGTGCGGTACCTGCGGGAGGACAACAAGGTGCACTCGGTCAACCTGCAGCACGCGCACGTGGCGGACGGGCAGAGCCACTCCATCATCGTGCGCCTGAGCGGGCTGCGCAGGGACACGCTGAGCGTGGAGCTCTACGTCGACTGCAAGCAGATGGACTCCAGCGTGGGGCTACCCGAGCTGTCCGAGATCCCCCTGGCCGAGGTGGAGGCCATCGAGGTGCGCACGGGGCAGAAGGCCTACCAGAGGATGCAGGTGAGTGCTGGGGGGACCGAGACCCCCACCACCGTGCCCTTGGAGATCGGCAGAGCCCCCCCACACTGGCTGTGTCTCCCCACGTACATCAGGGGTTCGTGGAGTCCATGAAGCTGATCTTGGGCGGGTCCATGAGCCGTGTGGGGGCCCTGAGTGAGTGCCCTTTCCAAGGAGATGAGTCCATTCACAGTGCAGGTAATGGCTTGGGAGGCTTATGGGGTCACCTGTGCATGCTGTGGTACAGGGAGGTGGGGGGTGACAGCACAGACAGGTGCTCCTGCCTCTCCTGGCCCAGGGTCCCCACACAGCTGGGAGCTCCAGCGCTGCTCACGTGCTGACCGGGAGTGACTGTGTGAGGTGATGCTGCCGGGGTGTGATGGCAGCATTTGGTAACATCTCGTCTCTCTCCTTGCAGTGACGAGTGTTCTGGCCTCCATCCTGGGTAAGTCCCTGCTCTGCTTTCCCCATTCCCTGGCCTGAGGCATTTGGGGCTCCACAGAGGCAGAAACCCTTCCACAGCCTGTCCCAGTGCCCCACATAGGGTGCATCAAAAGGCACGGGTTGTGTTATGGGGAAAGAGATCCTGTGTGAACCAGGGAGGAGAAGAACAGGTTGTCAACTGCCTTGTCCTCCCAGCTCAGTGCTGGTGGGCAGAGCAGTCCTGGCCTATGTCCCCAGGGGGCTGTGTCTGTCCTGGGATTGACCTTGTCCTTTCTGCTGCTGGCAGGTGAGCAGACCAAGGCGCTGGTCACGCAGCTGACCCTCTTCAACCGGGTCCTGTCGGAGCTGCGGGAAGACATTAGGGACCAGGTGGGACAGCGGGGGAGTACCAGCCCTCCCTGGGCCGGATTTCCCTAGAGCACGGTGCCAGCACCCCCTGATGCTCCACGTTCTGCTGCCTTGCAGGTGAAGGAGATGTCTCTGATCCGCAACACCATCATGGAGTGCCAGGTCTGCGGTGAGTGCTGGCGAGGCTCTGCCCCCACCTCAGGGGGGCACAAAGGGCCGCCTTGTCTCACCCCTCATCTGCCTGTCCTCCCCTCAGGCTTCCACGAGCACCGGTCCCGCTGCAACCCCAACCCCTGCTTCAGCGGGGTGGACTGCATGGAGACATACGAGTACCCCGGGTACCGCTGCGGGCCCTGCCCACCGGGGCTGGAGGGCAACGGCACGCACTGCGCCGACATCGAGGAGGTGGGCACGCTCTGGGGAGACCAGCAGCCCCAGCACTGCCGGGGCAGTGCAGGCAGAGGATGCTTCCTCTCAGGAAAGGCCCTGCTGGGACCTGGTGGCAGCAGCCACCCCGATGCTGTGCCCGAGGGTGAAACCGGTCTCTCTTCCCGGTGCTGCAGTGTGCCCATGCCAACCCCTGCTTCCCTGGCTCCAAGTGCATCAACACGTCCCCCGGGTTCCGCTGTGAGCCTTGTCCCCGTGGCTATCGAGGCAACACCGTCTCTGGTGTGGGGGTGGACTATGCCAAGGCCAGCAAGCAGGTGAGTGAGGTGCCACAGGACTCTGCCGGTTCCCTGTGGGTGCTCCAGACTGCGGGGCACTGCCTGTGAGGAGGGCAACTTCCCAGGGGGGCAGGAATGGGCAGGGGAAGGCCCCAGGTGAGGGTTTCTCCCACACTGCTCGCAGGTTTGCACGGATATTGATGAATGCAACGATGGGAACAACGGCGGCTGCGACCCCAACTCCATCTGCACCAACACGCTGGTGAGCAGCGCTGTCCTGCTCCCTCCCTGGCTCCCGGGGCCACCCAGCTCCCCTCATCCCACCCCTGCCCTCTCTCCCCCTCCAGGGCTCCTTCAAGTGTGGTCCCTGCAAGTCGGGCTTTGTGGGGAACCAAACGTCGGGCTGCGTCCCC